ACCAGATATTCCAGCATCACAACAGACGGAGCATCTGACCCATACAGCTGTGCCATCATATCCGGTTATGAGGCCTGAAGGTTTGACAACTTATGCAACATTAGAAAACTAATGTGGTCTTGTGTCGCGCCCACGTGTCTTATTGTCCCGCAATAAGACGCAGACGCGAGTGAAGCCTTCTGCGGTAAAATTTATTGCGCGCACAAAGATGAGGAAGAGGAAGGGGGCGGGCCCCAACCCCGGCAGGCTTTCTACTCTTATGTGCTGACCGGCCCCGCCTCCGCCGATGATAGGTCGGCGTCATGATCACGCAGGGTCCTGGGCGACCGGATTCGTCAGTCCCCAGTGTTCACGTGCCGGCCACACCGCAGCTCACTGCGCATGCGCTAGGCGCCTGCGCAGTACCGCGAAGGCTACGTGACTCTCCACCACGCATGAAGGTGTGGCTTCTCCGGCCGGCGCCATTTTAGGCACAGCATGTGGCCAGTGCATACAGATGCGGCTTGCAACAGTCTTGGGAATAATAAACCTTGAATACCTTTTCCTTGCTCTATGATTGTTCACTATCCATCAAGACTATGTCTAGATTACCCAATCTATCTGTCTGTCTGTCTGTCTATCTATCTATTTATTTATTTATTAGAAAGGTAGATTTACAGAGAGAAGGAAAGACAGGGGAAGATCTGCCATCTGCTGGCTCACTCCTCAAATGACCACAATGGCCAGAGCTGAGTTGATCTGAAGTTAGGAGCCAGGAGCTTACTGAGGGTCTCCCACATGGATGCAGGATTCCAGGGCTTTGGGGCCATTCTCCGCTGAACTCCTGTGCCACAAGCAGGGAGCTGGATGGGATGTAGAGAAGCTGGGACACGAACTGGTGCCCATATGAGATCTGGTGCTTGCCAGGGGGAGGATTTAGCCACTTGGCTACTGTGCTGGGCCCCATCCTTGCTCTTTTGGAATGATTTGCTGTATGCAGCCACAAGACCGTCGCATACACCAACTTCCCATTGGAAATACTTGTCTCTCAAACCCATGACAATGACCTACCTTTCTTGCAAATCCTGTTAAATAAGCACTTGGTCTGCCGTTACAGCTGCTTTCAAACACAACCAACCAAACAGGTGAGCAGGTCAGGTGCCATCATTCCCAATTTTTGGACAAGAAGATAAAAAACTCAGATTGCCGACTACAAGCTCTGAGTTGACGCACAAGATGGTTATTTTTTTCATTTGCAAAGCAGACAGAAGGTTCCATCAGCTGTTTTCATTCCCCAGATGCCCACAATAGCCAGGGATGGGCCAAGCTGAAGCTGAACCTAGAATCTCGGTCTCCCACCTGGAGGGGAGCCGTCATCTGCAGCATCTCAGCATGCTCCCGGGACTCGAACTTGGGTACACGGAGATGGATGCAGGCTCCGGGCAGCCCCTTAGCTTACCGCAAGCTCTGTGGGGTCAGTGGGCACTAAGTCAGTCTGGAGTGTCAGTCAGTATTTCTCGAGAAAGTCCAGGTCTATCTGGTTATCCTGGCAGGGGCTGCATTTGCCCTATAGCTGCCCCAGACTGCACTTCTCTTCGTGATCCCCCTCAATAAACTATTCTTTAACTCCTCTCTCTCAGTCCCTACATCCTCTGCCATCTGCAGCAGCTTTTCTTTTGCTGTGTTTTCCTGAAACAGTGACCATGCTGTTTTTTTCTACATTGACTTGAGACTTGTGATGAGTCCTTATTTAAGTGGTGGGGAAGCATTAATTGTGAGCCTAGATGCAGGCCATCACATTTCTTGACAAATAGCTTAGGAGTCTGACTTCACAGATTTCTAATGGTTGGGAGGATTAGTGAGCTCAAATGTGGTTTGAAGAACCTAAGTCCTTTCTTTTTTCCTTTTTTAATTGTTTGGGAGGCAGCTGGAAAGAGCACTGCTGTGTGCTGGTTCTTCTCCCAAATGGCCACAGTGGCCGGGGCGGAGGGTCAGCATCTGAGAGCCAGGAGCTCAATCCAGGTTTCACACATGCGTGGTAGGATCCCGGTTATTGGAGCCATTGCTGCTGTGTTCCAGGGTCTCCAGTAGCAAGCACTGAGCCGGGGATCAGACACAGACACTCCGCAGTGGCTGCGCCCCGGGCCACATGCTCCAGTACTCTCGGCTCTTCGTGCAGGGCCTTTTCCTTAGTGTGCGCTTTACTTGGAGTTGCAGAGGAGGAGCGAGAAGCCAGCAGGTCGGGCTGTTCCACGCGATGCTCCTTTTCTGAGGGCAGGGTGTTCTAGAACCTCTCGTTCCCCTGCGTGAGCTCCATCGTTTGCTTTTGTCTGTTTCTGGTGGCTCCTGGGTGTGCTCAGTGGCCGACTAGATTTGTGTGAAGCCAAGCTGAAGGATGTAATGACAGCTTCGAAAATTGACAGTGGAATATGTTTCTCGCAGGGTTGGGGGGTCGCTCTCTGGGGTAGCCCTTTCCTGACTTCCAGATCTTTGGATAGCTGAATTAATGATTCAAAGATTTCTTAATGTTGGAGTGACAGAGAGGTGGTCAGTCAAGAGATAGCTCCTTTATTCTGGTATTGCCTTTCTAATTACCTTCTAGTCTTCTATCCCCTCAGTAACCCTGTTCCTAGAGTTGACATGAAGCTGTGAAATCTGTCCTGATAAGCTCCTCCCACTCAGAGTGACAACCTGGAGACACTTCACAACCTTGTACCTGCCTGATTGCAAGACTGTGGCTGTAGGTAGAAGAAGGTTTATTGAATTTCTTGTGAATTAAAAAAAAAAAAAACATTATTTATTTGGAAGGCAGAGTTACATGGAGAGAAAGTGTTGCATCCCCTGGTTCACTCCCCGAATGGCCACCACAGCTTGGGCTAGGCTAGGTTGAAGCCATGAACTAGGACGTTCACCCGAGTCTCCAGGTGGCTGCAGGGGGCCCCAGGATTTAAGGCATCTGTCCCTGCTTTTTCTAGGCACCTTGGCAGTGAGTTGGATCTGAAGTGAAACAGCCAGGTGTCCAGTCAGCACCAGTATGGGATGCTGGTGTTAAAGTAGCAACTTCACCTGTTATACCACAGCACCAGTCCATTCCCTTAATTTGAGTAAAAGTGATTTTAGACTTAGTCTGAAGTTTCACTTAACAGTAGTCTTGGAATAAACATCGTCCAGCAACTGCTTTCCCTTCCCAGTTTGAAAAGATGTATTTATTGGAACAGCAGATTTGCAGAGAGAAGGAGAGACAGAGAGATCTGTCCACTGTTTCACTCCCCAAGCGGCTGTGATGGCTGGAGCTGTACAAATCCAAAGCTGGGAGCCAGGAGTTTCTCCCAGGCCTCCCATATGGTTGCAGAGTCTCAAGGCTTTGGGCCACCCTCTACTTCTTTCCCAGGTCACAAGCAGGAAGCTGGATGGGAAGTGGAGCAGTCAGGACATGAACTGGCACCCATGTGGGACCCTGGCACTCAGAGATGTAGGATTAGCCAGTTGAGCTCTTATGCCGGGCCCCTGCTTTCTCAATTTTAGGTATAATGTTGACTCTTAGTAAATCATTTTCTCTGAAAAAATAAAAGAAATCCTTAGTTTATTTCAAAGCATGATCGAGAGAGAATAAGAGAGAGAAAGAAGAGAAAAGAGAAGAGAAAAGGGAAAAGGAGAAAAGAGAAAAGAGAAGAGAAGAGAAGAGAAGAGAAGAGAAGAGAAGAGAAGAGGAGGAGAAGAGGAGGAGAGGATCTTCCCTAAGTGCTGGCTCATTCTTCAGATGCCTGCCACAGCCAGGGCGGGGCCCGTCGTCAGTGAGAGGCTGGGTTAGAAATGGAGTAGGACCTGATTCCAGGCACTCCAGTTATGGGCTCTGAGCACCGGAAGTGGCAGCCTAATGCAGGAGAGCCTGAGCCCGGGGTCCCAGATACCGGCAAGGGCTGTGATTGGGCGGAGCTGAAGCTATGGACCAGGAACTCGATCCAGATCTCCTGTGTGTTGTGGCAAGAACCCAAATACTTCAGTTATCCGCCTTGCCTTAGTCCAGGAAGCTAGAATGCAGAATGCCCCCCTTCTTGTCCTATTGTTTTGTGTGTGTTAGAGTTCTCACTTTTAGGATGAAACTCAGCCCATCTTGGTATGCAGAGAAGGAATTTGTTCAAGGTATTCTGCAGATTACAGATGTCCCTTAAGGGGACAGTGTTTGGCTGATGGCTGCCTCCTGCCTCGCTTGGGGGTTGCCCTGGTAAGCATGGTGTGGCTGCCTGAGTCTACAGCAGCATTGCATCTCCTAAGGCTGCGGGAAGTTCTGTCTTCACGCTTGCCAGACGATGGACTGCATTTCTCCGCGTCTGTTTTCTCATATTGCTTACTTATGACTCAGAGTCACACACGGGTGTGTCTGTCTGAAGGAGCTTGGCTAAGCCCAGATACAGTGACTGGGTTAGTAAGTTTTCTAAGTTCTCACCAGTGGACTTATTGGAGCTCTTTATAGAAAAGACGTTGGTCATGAAACTTTTGTGATCAGAGATTGTAGAAATAGACTGCCTTTTTTTTTGTTTAGTGTAAGTGTGAGGTAGGGATCTGATGTGTCTCTGCCCCCGTGGTATTACATCTGCTGTGAACTAAGTGTGTCATCATGTGTTTGCATGTGTGTGGTGAGCTCTCACCCCAGAGCAGTGTGTGTGCAGCTTGGGCAGATCCAGGGATAGTACAGAGAAGCCTAGAGCACTTGGCCTCAGTTTCCCTAAAATTATCCTTATTTTGTTACCATCACAATTATTTCATAAGTGAAGAGACATGGCTTTCAAAAAATTAGCTAGCATCACAGTTCTGGTGGATGGCAGAGTCAGGCCAAGGGCAGAGTAAGTATCCAGGTCTTGCAGCTGGTCCATAGAACCGTTCTCCTTTACTCTTTGTCCTGTGTCTGCTCTTTGCATTTCATTGAGTCACAGAGCTTGACCCGGACTAGGAAGTACCCTGTCCATAGTGTACTTGTTAATGTCAGTCCTTCTAATCTGTGCAATAACTCTTCACTCTAGGCTCCCTCTGGTTCTTCAACACCAACAAGAACCAGGACCAGGACCTCCTCATTTACAGAGCAGCTTGATGAAGGCACACCCAATAGAGAGGTAAGCTCGAAATTTCTGCTTAAAAATCCCCCTCAGAAGAAGTGGAATTGTTCTGGAATGTAGTGTAACGCTGCTGCTGAACAAATGGGCAGTGATTTTGATAGGTCAATTATGTAATTCTTACATATGGTTTTTGTTAATTATGTGATTAGTGCTTTTGACAGGTAAGTTATGTAATTCCTCGATACTGTTTTGATTAATTTTGTGATTCGTGATTTTGACAGGTCAATTATGTAATTCCTACATACTGTTTCTATTAATTATGTGATTAGTTCTAAGTTCTTTGAAAGAGTAATATATCCCGCATTTAGTATTTAAAACTTTCAGAATAATTTAATAACAATTTGTTTAATGTATCATCTTATGGGGAAAAGTCCTGCATTTTCAGACTGGTGAGTGAAAAACTGAGGAGTCCCGTCACTGCTTCCGTGTAGCTAGGAGCTGGCACAGAAATTCTTTTTTTTTAAACCTCATTTCTTCCCTGTGATGTATAACCCAGGTATACTAGAGAGGGTACCACGTAAGTGCATAGGCTGATGACTTGTCATGAAGTGGATTCCTGTGTTCCAACCATCCAGGTCAGGAAAAGGGGCACCATTGGAAATTCAGTGCTCCCTTCCCTCTCCCAGCGGGAGCACCACCATCCTGGAATGGTAGTATTTGCCTCTTGCCTTCCTCGATGGACACGTTGGCTTGTCCCCAGTGCTTGGCTGCTCTGCGTTTCTTCTGGTTCCTGTTGGTTGTGTGCTGGCTCAGAGGAAGGAGCTGCAGCCATGGTTCCCCAGGGTGTTTCTAGAGATTTTCCTCCCCACAAGGACTTGATGCAAGTTGCTCCTGCGCCCTGGCATTTATAATTTTTTTTTTTTTTTTAATCTCAATGTTCCGGTAATGTGCTGTGGCCTTTGTGCTTTAACTTGTATTTCTCTGAAGATTAGTAAGATTGGGCATTGTTCCCTTGTTTATTGATCACCGATTCATCCTTTTACAAAAGGCTATGCTAAGTGCCTTGCCCTTTTCTTCTTTTGGGTTAACTTTTTCTCATTAATTTGTATGAGTTCTTTTTATATAACATGGCTATAAGTTTTTCCGGGATCTGTATCTTGCAAATGTATTCTTTGATTCTGGTTTGTCTTTCATTATCTTAATGGTATTCCTTGATGAGCCAAAAATTCTTAGTTTTAAGATTTTTTTTCCAGTATATCAATATTTTATTTTATGGTCAGTGTTCTTTGCTGTTGTTGTGGTGGGGGTTGGGGAGTTACCCACAGTAGGTTTTTGCCTGGCATGTAGAGGCCTGTGTCCTGTGTCTGAATGCCCGGCTGCAGTGCCTGGCTTGCTTCTGATGGTAGCTTCTGCTCATGTCCATCCTGGGAGCAGAGGTGGTGGGTCCAGTGATTGGATTCCACCCATGCTCATGAGAAATCTGGCTTGAGTTCACAGCTCAGCCTCAACCCCAGCTGAGGCCACCGCAGGCACTTGTGGAGTGAAGCGGTACATAGGGGCTCTGTGTCTCTGCCTTTCCAATACATTGAGGAAGATCGTTAAAAGAATCATTTTCTGACACTGAGAAGGTTTTCCTGTATTGTTTTGCTTTTCGCACTTAGATGGATGTATGTATACCCCACCCGGAAATGATCTCTCGGGATGGTGTGAGGGGTCAGGGTTCACGTCCTGTAGTGTGTCTGTCCGATGTCAGATCTTTCTGCACACTGCTTTTTTTTGTGCTTGTACAGAAATCAGTAGTTCATCTTTGAGTAGCTTTGTTTCTGAGCTCTCCATCTGCTCCTTTGTTGCTGCGTTGTTCACTTTGATTTGGTATTGTAAGTCTTTTCTTTTTGATACTTATTTATTTTTATTTGAAAGGCAGATTTGCAGAGAGGAGAGAGACAGACCAGTCTTTATTCCACTGGTTCACTCCCCAGATGGCCACAATAGTTGAAGCTGAGCTGATCTGAAGCCAGGATGTTCTCTGGATCTCACCTGTGGGTTCCGGATCCCAAGACCTTGGACCATCCTCCACTGCTTTCCCAGGCCACGAGCAGGGAGCAGCTGGGACCTGAACTGGTGTCCATAAGGAACGCTGGCATTGCAGGTGGAGGATTAGCCTGATAAGCCACCATTGCTGGCCCCCAGCACGATGAGTCTTAATATCATTTTCATCTTCCATTAATTCTTGTAGGTCATGTAGATCTTGTAGTCATGGCTTTCTACTCTGCTCTTGTTGAATGTCTTGGTTATTCTTTCTCCTTTTTCACGCAATTCCATGTAAGTTTTTAATCATATTGCTATTCCCTTCTGTTCTTTCTTTGCCGAATGTTTTTTATGATGAGGCAACTTTGAATTTTGTCTGTTATGTCCTCTGTGTCTGTTGATATGTGTATGGTGTTTGAATTCTTATTCTGTTAAATATGGTGTGTCATATTAAAGGATTTTCAGATGTTAATCTTTCATTCCGGTAGTAAATCCTACTTAATCATGATATATAATCTCTCTCCGTTCTTTTTTTTTTAAGTTTATTAATTTGAAAAACAGTTACAGAGAGACAGAGGGAGAGATAGCGATAAAGAGAGATTCCACCTGCTGGTTCACTCCCCAAGTGGCTGCCAAGACTGGGCATGGGCCAGGCCAAAGCCAGGACCAGGGGCTTTCTGCAGGCTCAAACCATCACCACCATCAAAGCTATGGACTGTCCATCACCTCCCCGAGTTCCCCCCACTCTGTTGGCATCATTGTTACCATTATATTATCATGGTAAGAACACGTAGAAGATCTTGCTTCCTTGAAAGTGTGAGATGTCCGTTATGCCCCGTTAGCCATAGAAACGACGCCGTGTGGAATAGCTCGAGAATTTATTCATGTTGCGTGTTTAACTCAACTGCATTTCTGATTTCTCCCCCCACCCCCCTCCCCGGCAGCTTGCTGTTGCTGCTGGGGGCAGGGAGGGGGTGGGCGAGTGAGGGCCCTTCCGGTGTTAGGCGTGCTGTGCGAAGAGAACACTTTGCAACGTGCCATGATGATTTGTTTTTCGTCTTGTGTTTTGTTTTGGATTGCCCTGAATGAGACAGCTACTAGCCGGGATGATAGCAGAGCCTGCTTTTCTCTCTGAATACACTATCTTTGCTTTGGATTCCTCCAAAGAGCCTAATCCCCAGAGTGGCCGTGTGGTGAGTCCTCCCGCCGCTTTCCGCATCCCCTTTGGCGGGATGCAACACCTGCTGCCTGTCACTCACCTTCTCGTGAAGCACCTGCAGTGTGTGTTTGCTAATAACACTTTTCTAAGAAATCAGAGGGTGAATTGCTGGACTCTGATGGCTGTTGTGCTTCCTCGTAGCTTTTTAACAGCGATGAAATAACACCTACTAAATCACTAGGGGCCACCTTCTCTTGGGCTAACCTGTTTTCTCCCGAGGGAGGATATTTTGAAGTCTGACTCACATTTTGAGGGGGAAATTTGTTGTTACACACATTTGTAATTAAAGCACATTAAATAGATGGAGTTTACAATCGAAAATAACTGCATCGTGTTTTGTGTCTGTTGCATCAGTTTTGTGTCCATTGAATTTCTGAAAGGAAACAGCTACCATTGTTTCTCCGCTGACTGAATTCACATGATTTTGAATCTTGTGTATAATTTCATTAAAGTATCTGAGAAGTTCATGCTTTGGCAGGTTAAACTTTAGAGCGATTTACCCACTGAAAATGGCTTTTAGTGTTAGATTGGGTACTGACTGAAGTGAGATTTAGATCTTCTGAAAAATGAGAAAACGTTTCTGTACCAAACCCGCGTAGCCGGATAAAACTCGGTATGCAAATGGCCACAAGCAACCTTACATTACGTTCTAAATCTAACTTTAGGAAGGAAACTTCTCAGGGTGAGACTGAGATTACATCCGGGTCTGCCAAGTGGGTGCAGGAGGCCCGGGACTCACGCCCTCCTCTGCTGCTTGCCCAGTCTCAATTCTGTTTTTTCAAAAGATTATTTAAGAAAATTTTAATTGGAAAGTCAGATTTACAGAAAGGAGGAGAGACAGACAGGAAGATCTTCTGTCCACTGCTTTACCCCCAAGTGGCCATAGTGGCTGGAGCTTAGCCGATCCTAAGCCAGGAGCCAGGAGCTTCTTCCAGATCTCTCAAGCTGGTGCAGGGTCTCAAGGCTTTGGGTCGTCCTCGACTGCTTTCCCAGGCCACAAGCAGGGAGCTGAATGGGAAGCGGAACCACTAGGATTAGAGCACCTATGGGATCCCGGCATGTGCAAGGTGAGGACTTTAACCGCAAGGCTACTGTGCCGGGCCCTGTATGTTTTTTTTTTTTTAGGCATCTCTTTACCCCAAATTCTAAAACCTGTGTTGTCATTCCTTAGTGCTTTGCAGTCACTAAAATAATTGAAAGGTGGAAAAAAAAATGTAATTGAGAACAAACCTGGCAAGAAATTTGTGTTTTTAAGTGAAATGCACTGTCATGTGTACTATTTAAATGCTTCCAAAGGATTTCCCGCAGTTGAAGAATTTCCTCCGGCAGAAAACATTGGTGACTTGAGTGTTGGTGTGTTGACTTGGTTTTCAGACTTCTGTCTGGAAGAAGGCCTTGAGAAAGAAGGGACTAGAGAGGATTTCTTGTGCACTCACAGGTGAAGCATTGGGTCCTGGGGACTGGCATGCAGATGTAGGACTTTGTGCTCTGCAAGATCCTAGTTTAAAGTGGAGACCCGTGTGTGAGCGTGCCCTCGCGGTGCAGAGGCGTGAAAAAGCGACAGGCACAAGGATGTGATGGATGTGTTTGAAGCAGATTTTACAAATCCTGTCCCGTTCCCTAGTGCTTCGGTTAGTGTTTAAATGATAGACTAGCATCATGTAGACATCTTATGTATATCACAGCGCAGTAGTTTGTGTCAAATACATCAGAGTTCAGGAACCGGAGATGCGCTTTGTAGAGCTCTGTGCCATCTGTGTGGCTATGGAAGAGTCAGGCCAGATCAGAGTGGGGAGACGCGTGCCAGGGAGGCTGCCAAGCTGCCGAGCAAGGCGGCCAGAGCTGTCTTTGTCGCCATGCCTGTAAAACATGTAGGTATTTTATCATGAGCTGTTTCTAAAGCTCTCACCATAGCTTGATGATTAGTTCTATCCATCATGATTGCAGTGTAGCATTTTGGATCTTAAGGAATTTCATTCCTTACCACGAACCATGAACATTCTAACCAGTAGGATGGTGCTTATCTTGGGTATTTGCCTTATCAACTGAGGAAAGCAAACAGCTTTCAACATGGGAGAAGTTTTACCTTAGAAGCTTTTCTGATACTGTCACAACAGTTTCATTTAGATTGCTGTCCTCAAATGAATGTGGCAGTTTCATTACTTATTATTATTTAAAAAAAATCTTTATTATTTTTATTGCAAAGTCAGATATACAGAGAGGAGGAGAGGCAGAGAGGAAGATCCTCCATCTGCTGATTGTAGTCTCCAAGTGACTACAATGGCTGGAGTTTTGCCCATCTGAAGCCAGGAGCTTCTTTCTGGTCTCCCATATGGGTGCAGGGTCCCAAGGCTTTGGGTCATTCTTGACTGCTTTCCCAGGCCACAAACAGGCAGCTGGATGGGAATGGAGCTGCCGGGATTAGAACCAGCACCCATATGGGATCCCAGCATGGGCAAGGCGAGGACTTTAGCTGTTAGGCTACTGCACTGGGCCTGGTTTCGTTACTTATTATCAAGATATTCCTTATTGGTTAACCAAATAAATTTGTTATTTTAGGGAATAATTGAGATTACTTCTTTTTCAAGATAGGTTTTTTACTTAAATTTTGCTAATGAGTGCCTGGTATTGGATTTTGTAATGGGAGAGAAAAATTAGAGATGGGCTGTGTGATTAGCTTGAAATAATTTTTGTTACTAATCTCTGCTATTTAGTTATAAATATAGTAAATTGAGTTTTCTAAAATACTCACCATACTAGTCTTGCCTTGCATGGAAATATTAATAAATGAACAATTACTAATTTTGTTTAATAGATAAATGTGTCCAGTGAGTCTTGATAGTTGGATTTTGCTTTTGTTGCAGGCTGGTGTTCTATTCCTCTTCCTTATTTCTTTTGTTTCCTTAGAATGCGTCTGCCTACGCCAGGAGATCTTCTGACAGTGTTAATGGAAGTGAGCCAACCATTCATCAGGTCTGTTCCTAATTTTTTTTAAATGCAATTCAGGATATTGGTCAATCTGTATTTGTATAAGTATTTGAATCTCCATTGAAACTGTAGTATTCAGACATGTGAAATAATATGTATTGCCAGTGTAACTGTGTTTCTTGTTTCCTGGAAAAAGTTTAATCTGGATTTAATATCCACTTATTTCTCGTTTTAAAATTTAAGGGAAATAAAGTAAATGCATTAAAAAAAATGAAATCTGACCTTATAGGTTTTTTAAAGAATATTTATTTACTTTTATTGGAAATGCAGATTTACAGAGAAAAGGAGAGAGAGAAAAATCTTCCATCTGCTGGTTCACTCGCCACGTGGCTACAGTGGTTGAGGGGCAGAGCTAATCCAGAGCCAGGAGCCAGGAGCTTGCTTCGTATGGGTCTCCCACGCAGGTGCAGGGTCCCAAGGCTTTAGACTGTCCTCTACTGTTTTCCCAGGGCACAAGCAGGGAGCTGGGTGGGAAGGATTAGCTGGGACATGAACCAGCGCCCACATAGGATTCAGGCACATGCAAGGCAAGGATGTAGCCACTGAGCTATCGCACAGGGCCCTGACTTTACAGTTTCAAGAAATCATAGTGACAGCCATGCTAGAAACATGTTGAGTCATACCATCTGGAAGGAAGATTTTAAAAGAAGTACAATTTCTTTCTGAAAATTAATTTGTTGGATAGAGCGAGAGAGCACCCCTATGTGCTGCTGTAGTTTCCGATGCACACAGTGGGTGGAACTGGGCTGAGCCTGAGTGCAGCCAGAACCTTAATCCAGGTCTCTGTGTTTGAGTGTGGTCTGTCAGCACAGTGCCAGGGTCTGCCTTATATATAAATGAATATACAAATGAGAAGAAAAATAATCCCAATCCTACTCAGGAGTACCTGCATTAACTTTTGGTGTTTATCCTTCATGTTTTCTTCCTAAGGCTTTGTACAAGCATATACATACATTGAAAATAATGTGCTTTGGGGCCCGGTGTGGTAACCTAGTTGCTCAAGTCCTTGCCTTGCCCATGCTGGGATCCCATATGGGCGCTGGTTCTAATCCCGGCAGCTCCACTTCCCATCCAGCTCCCTGTTTGTGGCCTGGGAAAGCAGTCAAGAACGACCCAAAGCCTTGGGACCCTGCACCCACATGGGAGACCCAGAGGAGTCTCTGGGCTCCTGGCTTCAGATCAGCACAGCTCCAGCTGTTGTGGCCACTTGGGGAGTGAACCAACAGAGGGAAGATCTTCCTGTCTGTCTCTCCTCCTCTCTGTATATCTGACTTTGTAATAAAAAGAAATAAATCTTAAAAAAAAAGATAATACGTTTTAAGTCAAAATGAATTCACAGTATACACATTCTTTTATATCCAGATTGTTTGCCATTGTCTACTGTGTCTTGAGGTTCTTTCCGTGAGTGTCTAAGGTGTCTTGTAGTGATTGGACATTTGTATTCTATCTAGGATTTACTGTTGTATGGAACCATAATGAATCTGTTGGTGTGTGAAGGCTGTAGACCATTTTGGCCAATCTTTACTCTCAACAGCTATTAACGGGTTAGGATGGTTAACCCATACTATCATTAATGTCGCTTAGAAATATCTTTAAACCTCTATCAGTGTGTGTTTGATTTTTAGAAGTATACGCTGAAGAGCATCTTTTTGTTTCTTCACAATCTTTGCGTGCTTGTGACCCCGTCTCCCCTGAGCATCTCACTCCTGGGGTCTTTGAGACAGTTGACCCCATTGTGGGAGCCTGCCAAGGTGCACACCTGTGTTTTACATACTTGGTATGCACTGGCAGCAAACATGGTGCGTCCAAATGGCCACTGCCTTCAAAGAGGGCATCGTTCAGGTGACACCCTCTCAACACTCCCATGAGATCAGGGCCAGAGCTACTTAGTCAAGGTCATGCTACTGGCTGCCAGAGCTGGGAGCCGCACCCCCGGCCTCTGATGCCTACTCCCTCACTGTTTCAGAAAGCAGTATGTTACATACAATGCCATGTATGTAGCGTGGATCTCCTAGTGTGGCTGGGGATGGTGGAGATGACGTGTATGCACTTGAACCCTCATGCTCCTTTTGGTTTTGGTTGCAGTCAGGTGACACGCAGTCTTTCGCACAGAAGCTCCAGCTCCGGGTGCCTTCCATGGAGTCTCTGTTTCGAAGTCCAATCAAGGAATCTCTGTTCCGGTCTTCTTCCAAAGAGTCTTTGGTGCGAACCTCGTCCAGGGAGTCCTTGAATCGGCTTGAGCTGGACAGCTCCCCTGCTGCCTTTGACCCGCCCTCTGACATGGAGAGTGAGGCCGAGGACACCCTTGGCGGTTCGGACAGTCTCAACAAAGAACAGTTGATTCAGCGCTTACGAAGGATGGAACGAAGCTTGAGTAGCTACAGAGGAAAGTATTCGGAGGTACGGGCAGAGCCTTCTGTTCCCAGTAGACAGTGCTGAGCACATCAGAGTTGGATGCCACTCATCCAAAGCCTTCGCTCCTGTCCTGTTTTCACCTTCCTGTGACATCACTGCTTTTAGCCGTGTGCTTATTCAGCTAAACTGGACTGCCCAGGTCCTGTGCTCAGTTGGTACTGGTAGGTAGTGTGTGGCAGTGTCAAAGACCCGCAGGTGCAGGGGCCCTTCAGCAAGACGGCCAGCGAATGTTTGGAGAAGGTTCCTGTTCCTACATTTTGGTTACCACATTCTGTGTCCCTTTCTTTTCACACTTCTCTTCAAGGTCCTGTGGCCACCCAGTGTCAAGTTCATTCTCTTTTCCTCCTCACACGCCCACCCTTGCTCATCTCTGAGGACCATGGCTTCAGAAGCTACCCACCGCATACCCACCAGGATTTACCTTAGTTATGCTTTAGGTTGTCTGTCGAACTTTAGATTGGCTCATTCTCATTGTGCCTGCATTGATGTTTTTGCCTTGTATGAATCTCCTTTAATTAAAAAACCTATATAATTTGTGTAAGTGGATAAAGCTGCTGCCTGTGATGCAAAACATCCTGTATGTACGCGAGTTCAAATCCAGGCTGCTCCACCTCCAGACCAGCTCCCTGCTAGTGTCCTGGGAAAGACATCTGGGCCTCTACGTCCAGGCTTTGGTCTGGCTCCGCCCTGGCTATGGTGGCCACTTGTTGGGTGAAGGTGGAAGCTTTCTCTGTCTTCATCTCCCCTTCTCTCTGTAGCTTGGCCTTTAGATAAATAGTCCTGAACATTTTTGATGTTCATTTGTTTTATTTGAAAGGCAGAGAGAAAGAATCAGAGACAGAAAAAGGTAGACAGAGACAGACAGACCTACATACACCTTGACATGTAAAGATCTTGCATCCCCTGGTTTGCTCCCTAGATGCCCACAGCAACAGGGGCTTGGGCAGGCTGAATTCAGGAGCCTGGATGGCACGTGAGTCTCCCATTTGGCTGTCAGGGGCCAAAGTGCTGGAGGCGTTACCTGCTGCCTTCTAGGGTAGTTTAGCAGGGAGCTGGCATTGGAAGCAGAACGGGAAGTAACCCCAGGAACTGAGCTGTGGGATGTGGGTGTCCCGAGCAGCACCTTCACCGCCACCGAGTACTTGCCCGTCAGGTGAACCTCCAACCTGTGTGAGGGCGACATGCCCTGTCGGTCTTAGGGAGGTAGCAGTGCCGCTTCCGTTTCTCTTTTTGGTCCTTCAGGAATGTGGGGCTCTTCCCTTTCCGGCTAACTTGTGTTAGCCGCTCTCCCCGATTCCTTTCCTGTCCTGTTCTGTTGAAACAGTTCTTCCTCAGGTAAGCCCTTCCAGAGGAAGTTGTCCCTGACTGTGTTGATTGATGCGTAACATTCTGATGATCTTCGGGGTTATAAATCAGCAGGGAGCTCATGTGTCCCACGAGGCACTTGTAGAAGCTTGCTGCTTTGGCTGTTTTTCTTCTTTTTTACTTTTTGCCATAGCTGATAAGAGTCTAGAATCCTTCTGTTTATGTTTCTTACCGTCAGAAACTTGTCCATAGTTGTTAAGTTGGATGTTGGGGCAGCAGTATCATTAACATTTAATTGTGCTGTCATGTTGTATGTGTTGTATCTGCAGTATCATTTGATTTTGCACCCTGCCTATGAAGTAGATAGTAGTTAGCTTGGTTTTGTAGAACGGGGACTGGAGACTCAGAAATGTAGTGACTTGTTTAGAGTCACGCAGGTGATGGAGTGTGATTGTCCTCTAGGTGTTTCTGTACCCCCTCAGACACACTCCAGAGGCTTATTAGGGAGAAGAGCCTACACCGCTTCTTTTCTCCTTGCCACTGCAAGTTCCTAAGGCACAAGAGTGTTATAGTGACGTCTGATTCTGGGGTTCCTCTTCTACCCCACCCCATGTCTTTTTGGAGTATTATTTTCTTATCCTGGTGTTGGGAAGAAACACAGGATCCCAGTCTTGGGCAGACTTTTTTTTTCAGTGTCTGTTCCCAGACTCACCTTCCATTGTTCCCTGCCTCTTGACTTTGACTTAAGCCATCTAGTAATGGCCTTTGGGGCACACAGTGAGCCATCTATGGAGGAACCAGGCCAGACTCAGATTGGAAGTGTGCTTGCCCTCGGAGCGGCAGCCAGTCTCTTTAGACCGGTTGGACTTTGATCAAGCAGGGCCTGCTCGTTGACTGAAGCCGCTTAGGCATTTCATTTCATCAAGTGATGTGAGGACGTGTTAACTCAGCTGAAATATAATCTTTAGGCTTTGAAATCTCACCTTCCCCGGGTTGCCTAGGGCTTTGTTTCCTCAGAGCCTATAGCTAAAAGAACTTTAGGGATCAGTAACAAAGGCTACTGTAGGCCAAAGCCAGTCACCTGGAGAGCTTCTTAAAATAGATTCCTACTTCTCCACCTCGCCTGCACTTGCCCTGTTGCTTTCACTTTGAGGCCAAGAACTTGCTTTTCCAGCCAACTCCCTGATGATGTTGCTGATGGGGTCCCGGTCTCCGTCTGTGAAATTAGTTACTGAGGTTTAAGGAGGTGCAGGTCTAAGGAGGAGTCATATGCACAGTGTATATCTCACAGTCAAGTTGTGTTTTGCTCTTTAGAATGTTTTTCTGTTATGCATTTCATTAGGTTGAATTGTTTATAAAGGCCCCTTCTAGTTGATATGTGTTTGGACTTCCTCGAGATGTGTGAGCAGAAGTGTTTTAGAGTTTAATATAACGCCACTGATTTAAGACTAACATTATCGATGACTTTATTTTAGCTCGTTACAGCTTATCAGACTCTTCAGAGAGAGAAGAAAAAGCTCCAAGTAAGTGGTTTATTGGCTGTATTTTCGAGTCATGGAATGTTAACATTAGAAAAGATATTGTAAAGTATTTATTACTAGTTATCCCTTTTTTATAATTCTCCATATGATCAAAGTATTTATTCCATCTCCCTGTCCTGGAGATGGAATGAGATTTTGAGTTATTTTAGGAACGAGTTTCTCTGAGTTTGAGGTCCCTGCGGTGTTTAAGAGGATTGCATTTAAGTCGTGCTTGCCCCCTTCAGGTGTTTCCTCACCTCTCCGTCTGCAGGTCGGTTAGTAGAAAAGAAATCCAGCCATGTGTGTGTTCTTCCCTCTGTGTTACATCCCTGCAGACATGTCTGCGTCCTGCCATGTTGCCAGGTTCCACCGAGCAGCCTACCTCCTAAATGCACCGTTTTCTGAGGCTGCTTCTTGGAAAGCTCTTGGTTAAACAGGTGGGGGTAAGGACCTTTGATAGCTTTTCTGGGTGGCCTACCTTGGCCCCACTGAGCCAGAAATATCCCGCCACACATCTGAGCTAAGGGAAAATCGCTATTGAAATTCACATGGTGCCACCAATTTGCTATGTTTTTAAAAGTATTTTGATTTTTAAAAAATGATTTCAAATCGTTTAGTATTTGTATTGTTCTTGAAGAATCCTATAGCCCAACTCTATGCTTGGTGTATGCTTGCAATGAAGGAATCTCAACTGAACTTGAACTGTGGTCACGCAACAAGGTTATTAAATAAATAAATAAATAAAAATAAAATTTACTACATGCATAAAAAAAAGAATCCTATAGCCCAAAAGTTATTTGTAAAGTGATCTTTGCTAAGACTAGTTTGTCTCCTGAATATTATTTTAAAATAATTAACCTCCCTTCCATTTTTATCTCTAAGTACACCATTCAGTTTCTATTTGGTCTTGAAGATGATCAGCTCTGTATGATTACAGATGTTCATTGCTAACTTGGAGTTTAATTATTCTTACTAAAAATGAAAATTCGATTGTATTGCAAGTAGAGTGTTCAGTTTGGTAAATGTTTCCTGAAACTTTAGTTACACTGAAGTACTCTTAGTCCCGCACAGTTATTAGAGATGAAATTTAATGATGTAACTGATTTCTACCCATATACACATGTCCATGTGTGCATGTCTCAAAGCCTATTTCTTCAGTAGGCAAACATCCTTTTCATAAAGCCAGTAAGATTGAAAACTTCTGCCAACACAGTTGCCAGCACTTTCCATACCAGCTCTCACTTACTGAGCTCACACTGTGTGCCAGGTCTTGTGGTGTGAGTGATACGGACCACATTCATTGTCGTACAGCCCGGAACTCGCAGGGAAGAGCACCGGGATCCGCTTCCCAGCAGCTGGACTCCACATCTGGTGTCTGTAAAAGGGCTGGATGAGACTCTTGCATCTTTTACAACATTTATCTTCCTGTGTTTAAACATTTATATTTGAAACTGGAAAAATAAGACCATAAGATCATGGCCATGGGTTTTGTTTTATTCACGCACAAGGCCACAGAAATCCAAGCCAGCCACACTCTCCTGACCATGTCATCCATGAGCCTCCCTGTATCGTTGTCTTTTTGTCAGTGCACACAGGGCACAGGAGATAACTGTGTAGTCCTCTCCAACCAGAATGGGTGTTCCTTTGACCCCGTAGATTGTAACTTTCCAAGATTATTTTCTTCTGCTTATGGAAAGCAGATCCTTTGGCATCTAAGAGTGACTCATTTCTTCTTTCAGTGTTACTCTTTGAGCTCATTGTTTCGTATGTATGATTAATAATTTAGCCATCTATACATTTCCTCCATGATTTCCTTTAATGTAAATAAGAGCTATTCCTTTTAGGGGGAAAAAAAAGTATATACTTACTTTAGCTCTTTGAAAGATAGAATGAGAGGGAGAGAGATCTTCCTGTTTGCTGGTTCATTTTCCAGATGGCCACAAACTGTCAGAGTTGGGCCAAGCTGGGAGCCAGAGCTTCCTCCAAGTCTATCATGTGGGTAGCAGGGACCCAGATGCTTGGACCATCTTCTAATGCTTTTCCCAGGCTGTTAACAGTGGGCTAGACCAGAAGTGGAGAGTCCAGGATTTGAAGCCATATGGGATGCTGGCACTGCAGGCAGCTGCTTTACCCATTTGCCATGCCAGCCCCAAGAGCTATTTCTCTTTAAGTCACACAAACCTTTGGGACAGGCTAATACTTGATATATTCCACACATTATAGGCTACAGTGAAATAAATTATATTTGGAATTTGATTAAGCTTTATTTTAAATGAACATAATAAAATATACTTCTTGTTTAAATTATTTACCTATGTATTTTAGCAAGTGCATAGTTACATAATCACAGGTTGTTCTTGGACAAGTGGTTGTCCAGTATTTTTAAAATTTGTTTTAAGATTTAGTTCTTTACTTGAAAGGCAAAGTGACACAGAGGTTAAGAGAAAAAACAGAAGGAGAGAGAGAGAGAGAGAGAGAGAGAGCGAGCTTGAGAGAGAAACTAATCTTCCATGCCCTGGTTCACTTCCCGCATGACAGCCAGGGCTGAGCTGGGCTGCCTCCAGGAAGCTGGGGTTTGATGTGTTTCCCGCGTGGGTGGCAGGAGCCCAAGCACTTGGGCCAGCACCCGCTGCTCCCCGGGGCGTTTGGAGTCGCTGCTGCCCCACTCGGTGCTTTGATACAGGCACAAGTATTGCAGATCACAGTTTAACCTCTGTGCCGCAAGAGCATCTCCAACAGTTGTAATAATTTTAAAATAATTATTTTTAATTTATTTGGCATCATGCAGTTTTGTTTAATGACTTTTCTTTTTTTTAATTACAGGGTATATTGAGTCAGAGTCAAGATAAAGCACTCCGGAGAATTGGAGAATTAAGAGAGGTGAGTTTTACTGATTAGTACTTAAAGAACAGTAATTAAATCTTTTATATTGATTGGAACTTTTGTATGTGTTAGAGTAGTTTCAGAGGCAACTTAGTTACTTACAACAACGATTAACCAGCCGGGGGTTGTAAAGCCAAGGCTAACTCTGAGTTTTTAGATATGTGATTTTTCTAAACGTGTATTGTTGGAATAACAGAATGAGATTGCCTTGGTTAAGCGACAAGAATAGCATTTGTATGAACAATTGGTTGTAACTTTGTAGAGCTGGGCTGTCCCTTATGCATCCAGGCTGGCTTTTGTTTTTCCTAAGCAGCCATCTTCATGGTAAAATAAGACAGTAATTAGGTTCGTTGTAATTTGGTGGGGAGGAGGAGGACACGATGCTTTTTCTTGTGGATTAAGACGTAGCTCCTTCATGTCTTGCTGGGACCCCACTTGCTGTCTGAGTGGGCAGGACCCGTCCTGGTTTCACCTCCCTGTCTCACGTGAGCCTGCTCTGCTCTGCATGAGTGCCTGTCGACTCTTTGGGGTCCATGTGACACTAGATTGCTTCCCCCTGTTGTTGGTGATGCTCTTCGTTTCTGTTTGTTGTTATAAATGGTGGAAATATATACTGCAAGGAGATTTTCACAAATCAACAGGATTTATTGCTTTACAAAAGAAATTTTCTTAGGTGTACAGACTTGAAAGAGCAGGAGAGTAATGTGGACACGCGGTAAGGGGTGTTCCCTCCAAGCCCAGCTGCTCAGTTAGGATGGGGGCAGGCTTCCTTGGAAGGTGAAACCTCCTTAAAGTTTGAGGTACACCTCTATAGGAGTGTTTCACCACTAGATGGCACCACAATTCAGGATGAGAGAGGGTGGTGCCAGTGTTGGTAGACCTGTGCCAGTGTATGTCTTCAGAGAAGCAGCCCTCAGAGTGTGAGTCTGCCACGACTAAGCTGGCAGGGTGTTGGTAACCAGGGCAGGAACTTGCGTGTCAGGGGTCTAGGCTCTCACATGCGACAGCTGGTAAGATGCACGCCTGGAGGGAAGAAGGAATGCACTCTGAGATAAAATGTCACAGAGTAGAATATGTAAGTGTAGGGATCATTTCAGACCTACATAACATAAGGGGATATAATTTCCTAGGTTTTATTATAAAATAAAAATGGGATAGTGTTTGGTGCTGTAGCCTAGCGGCTGGAGTCCTTGCCTTGAATGCACCAGGATCCCATATGGGCACTGGTTCTGGTCTCAGTGGCCCCATTTACCAAATGCCCACTATGGCTGGGGCTGGGCCAGGCAGAAGCCAGGAGCCAGGAACTCTATCACTGTTTCTGAAGTAGGTGGCAGGGGTTCAAGCCCTGGACCATTCTCTGCTTTGCTAAACACATTAGCAGGAAGCTAGATTGGACAGTCTGAACTCAAAGCAAAACCTATATGGGATACCAGCATCACAGGCTCTGGCCTAACTCAGTGAACTGCAACACCTGCTTTTGACTATTGAGTTCCTTTAAAAAAAGAACAACAACAACAAAAACAAAAAACTTTTGTTTCTATTATTTGAAAGATTGAGAGAAAGAGAGGGAGAGAGAGGCATTTAGAGATTTGCTATGTACTGGTCCGTCATCTAGATGCTGACAAATGGGACCAAGCTAGGCCAAAGCCAGGAGCCAGAAACCGTCCAGGGCTTCCGTGGAGGTCGGCAGAAGCTCATGTACTTGGTGGGCCACCTGCTGGCCCCTGAGCTGTGATGAAGCAAGGTTTGGGGACAGAGCTGTGACTCAATCCCACACACACCAACATGGAATGCAGTTGTCGCAAGTGGCATGTCAAGCACTGTGTCAAATGTCCAACCCTAGGACAGTTGCTTTAACTATAAGAAATTTAGATATAAGAAAAATCTCTCCACATTGAACCCCTCCCCATGGGTCTGTGGAAATTTCACATTGGATCTGAGCAGCGTTGGAAAACTGACTTCATGGGGAAACGACGTGAGGAGGTTGATAGCCAGAGGAGCAATAGCGGGGGGGCTCAGAGATCAGCTCGGAGTTAGGGGACAGTAGGACAATTATTGTAACAAATGTGTGAGCGATGGATTTAACTAGAAGACTTCAGGTAAGAAATCTCTAGAAGGCTGTCAAAAGAAATCAATGATTGGAAATGATAGGAATCTCGTCTGTGGTTATAGTTGTGGGAAGAGGTAGAAACTAAACATCGTAGAGAATTTGCGAGCTAATTATATGTAGGAATCAACGAAGATAAATGTTGGGGTATCTGACACCTAGTGAATTGGTGAGGCAGGCATTCCGTCTGTTGGATCTCTAGCACTGAAGGAAGTACGTGACAGGGAGAGACGGAGGACACAGGCTTGGCCGGGGAAGGGGAGGGAAAGAGGAGCAAGTCATGGAAAGCAGGTGCCTCGTTGAGAAGCTAATTATCGGTGGCTGGTATAACAGAGAGATAAAGGTCTTTGGATTTAGTTAAGAAGTCCCGTTCATGCTAAAGACAGCAATATGGTTGTTAATTTCAGGGACTAGAAATGTGATTCTTGGCTGATGCACTAGTTAATCTTCATGTTACAAATCCAGGTTTGTGATGAAAGCCCTGGAGGAGGACTGTTGAGCGGTGCGTGACCATTTATTTAGTTTTGGGTCAAGTGTCTACGGTGAGAGAATCTGGAAGATCTCTCAAAATAGTACTCTCACCTTGAGGAAGTTGCTATCCCCTCCTTTGTTTTTAATTCTTTATTTTCCATGATGCAATTCCTTAGGCTCAGGGATTTCCTATTCTACCCTTCTCCACTCCCTCCCCGCGGCTGTTTCGCCCTGTATTGTAACATTAGGTTGGTCTCTCAACAGCAGTTGTAAGTCCATCATTCTATTTAAATATATCCTGACAATGTAGGTATAGAGAATGTGAGAAGGCCGGCATGCTATGGTAAGATGTGTTGGGCAGCTTCCCTGGGCGTCCATCTCTGGTAGCGATGCGTACTGCAGTGTGTCTCCGCTTCATGCTGCGCTTGCCTTAATGTGCAGATCCTCTACATGGATGTGTGTGCGTGCACGCTTACCTGTGTGTCTGGAGAGCTTGCGTTTTGCATGAAGGTTGCCGCATGTCAGGGGGAACATGTGCATATTTGTCCTTTTAGGTTTGCGTTGTTATTCTCTTTGTTATCAATTCATTACAACTCCAGAGCCTGGACCTTACGATTCATTTAGGAACAAAATTATTTTTTAATGTGAATGTCTTAAATCATGTTTCAAATACTGATTATTCTCTTTTACTATCGTTGATATTCTATCTTAAGTAAAATATGCAGCTAGATTGGTTATGGTTTTAAATTTAGGAAACCTTAAGTTTGTACTGTTTAGTCTTAAGCTGAAAATTACCTATAAACTCTTCCCTGTTTTAGGAGCTCCAGATGGATCAGCAGGCAAAGAAGCACCTGCAGGAGGAGTTTGATGCCGCGCTGGAGGAGAAGGACCAGCACATCAGTGTGCTTCAAACTCAGGTGCAGAGCAAGGAGAGCGTGCGGGACTGCCACAGAGATAGATGCTGGGGCTCGGTGGGACAGCCAAGGGGTGCCATGTTCTTGTGGGGCTTTTTATTTTTGTTTTTTTTTTTTTTTTTTTTTTTAAAGATTTATTTTTATTTTTGTTTTTTAAAAAAGACATTGTAAAAATGTGTTGCTTTCCCTCAGTCAATTTTAAAAGTCATTTAAAATTTTTAATTTTAATTTTTTTTTAGTTTTGGTCTGTTTTTATTTACTATGTCATTGTCAACCATCAGCATGAAATCTAACTGCAGGGCTTGGTGCAATGGCCTAGTGGCTAATCCTAAACCCTTGCAAGTGCTGGCATCCCATATGGATGCTGGTTCATGTCCTTGCTGCTCCCCTTCCCATCCAGCCCCCTGCTTGTGGCCTGAGAAAGCATTCAAGGATGCCCAAAGCCTTGAGATCCTGCACCCATCCGTGTGGGAGAGCTAGAGGCGGCTCCGGGCTTTTGGCTTCAGACTGGCTCAGCTCCAGCCAGTGTGGCTATTTGGGGAGTGAACCAGCAGGTGGAAGATCTTTGTGCCTCTCCTTCTTTCTGTAAATCTGACTTTCCAATTAAATAAATCTTAAAAAAAAAAGAAAAGAAAAAGAAATCTAACTGCATTGGAAGCAGCCTTTTTGGTCTTTTCTGTGTAGAAAAAGGGTTACCATTCACTCCAGCCCTGTCTCTGTCCAGGTAGTATTGCTGTATGTTTTTCTGATCAGTTTTCTAATGAAGTACCTGTATTTTAGGTTTCTCTGCTGAAGCAGCGGTTGCGAAATGGCCCAGGGAACGCAAACCTCCCCAAACCCCTGTGTGAGGTAGAAGCTCAGGAAGAAGAGGGTCCGGAGAGTCACGTGGAGCCAGCAGGTGGGTTTGGCTGGAAGGCAAACTCAAGGCTAGAAGGGACAACACCGGGCGGTGCACGAGGACCACGACGGAAGAGGGGCGAGGACCTTGTTGCCTTGTCTCTCTGTTATTTAGGAGAGAGGAAGTAACTGCTTTAAAACTTGAAAGTTTCATAACCCGTTGAGTTGTGTGACATTTTGTTACAGTCGAAATTTAAAATCAGATAGTTCAATGAAATTGAAATTTTATTGAAAACATACAGAAGTTTGTTGTGTTGAACTCTTTTATTATTAGCAGTAGGTCCATTTCATGTCAGATCAGTTCTGTTTATTGTTAATATGCTACTTGTATTTGTTTGGGTATTTTTATCTTTTAAATAAAAATAGTACATGTTCGTATATTCTAAGATGCCTATACATAACTGAAAGAGAAAGAATAGTTAAGTTTTGTCTTAAAATGCAGCTACACCCCCTCTCCGTTCTTTGAGGTGTTAAGGTACATATTGAGTCAAATTCCTATTTTTCATCTCAGTGATAAAGGGAGGCTGTGCAGAACTCTTGACCCAACCAGAGCCATAGGAAGTTGCTAAGCACCTTGCTGCCGGTATGTTCGGCTTCAGGGGGTCTTGGTAGCCTTTTGGGATGTGCAAACTTCCCCGATTCAAGTTAGGAGTTGGAGATAGGAGGCTGCAGTAGAACTCCTCCCGGGAAGGGATTAGAATGTGGTCAGAGAGCCACTGGACTTGTTTTGATGTGAGCTAAGACGATGGGGAAGGGGGTTTGTAATTTTGATTAATAAAAGATGGTTATGAAACTTGGTTCTAAGGAGGGTCAATTCAGTTTGTGTAGGGTTGAATTATGTAAGAGGTGAATGCACTATTCTTCAGATGGGAACCAGGAATGGGGGTTGGAAGGGACCTCATTAGGCGCCCCCCTGTTAGTAGGGATAATGGTTCTGTTGCTTCTAGAGGCGGCCCTGAGTGTGAAGTACCAGGCTGCGCTCGTGCGTACTAGCCGACTTTCCGGAGAGTTCTGTGCACCTTGCTGACTGCCCCTTCTTGCTCTCTTGTTAGTGGGAGACGGAGCTTCTGCTAAAACGCTGGAAGCTCTCCAGCAAAGAGTGCGGCGTCAGGAGAACCTGCTGCAGCGCTGTAAGGAGACCATTCAGTCACACAAGGAGCAGTGCGCGCAGCTCACCAGTGAGAAGGAGGCCCTGCAGGAGCAGCTGGAGGAAAGGCTTCAAGAACTGGAGAAGATGAAGGTGACATCTCCTTTCTCATTTCCTCCTGTGGCTCCCCAGGTTCCCGTGTGGTCTCCACCTGGCCAGCAGGCCTTCCTCCACTCGGCTGACTGGCCAGAGAGGACGTCCTTCTTCGGGCACCACAGTGCCCTGGGCTCCGCCGTGCCCTGGGCTCCGCAGCACCTACTGTCCCTTTGAGACTTGCTGTATACCTTCCTCCCAGTGGACTGTTAGACATGTCTAAGTTAGATGAAATGTTAGCATTCTCCTCTGAGAAGCTTTACTAGAAATGGAAATGAACTTTTAAAATTTTTTTAGGAGCTTCATATGGCTGAGAAGACTAAACTTATCACTCAGTTGCGTGATGCAAAGAACTTAATTGAACAGCTTGAACAAGATAAGGTAACCAACAATAAAGCTTATGATACTAAAATTTGTCAGGGGGCCCAGAACTTGACTTTTAGTAAAGTAACTGGAAGCATTCGTAGTTGTGCCTTCCAGATGTGTCAACAGCTGCTTCCCTGAAGACGCCCTTTAACTGCGCCTGGATCTGGCTGCTAGCTGTAGTTAGTATCATGTGAAATGATGCTATGCCTCGGAGTTCTCCATCCCAACCAGAATTTCAATTTGTAGATTAGAATATCTGCTGTAGAGGATATCTGTACTTACATATACATCTATACATTCATTTATAGCAAAAAACAGTATTCTAAATTGGAGTGGTATCAGTCTATTCTTTCAAATATGGAAACGAATTATTCTCTAAGTCGCCTAACAAGTAAAGAAATGGTAGTGTATCTGTTGGTATAGACAGAAAAATCGAATTTTGGCGAGTATAGGTGACGCTGAAGGATGGAGGAAGGGATGAGACTTGCCCTTAGCTATTGGACTTGGAGTGACAACTGTAGTGATGAGCCAAGGTTTGAAATGGCCCTCTAATTAAAAACATGCCAGGGGCTGGTGTGTGGTGCAGCGTGTTGAACTGGCCCTGTGACCTCTGCATGGCACATTGGAACGCTGATTCAAGTCCCAGCTGCTCTGCTTGTAACCCAGCTCCCTGCTGATGCGCCTGGGAAGCAGTGGGTGGTGTCCTGCCCCCACGCGGCAGAGCGAGGTAGGGTTCCTGGTCCCTGGCTTTGGCCTGGTCCAGCCCCAGTTGTTGAGTCCACTTGGATTTGGGGAGGTTACCAAAGATCTGTGTTCCACTGTTGCTCTTGCTCGCTCAGCGTGCTCGCTTGTTCTCTCTCTCTCTCTTCGTGTTACTCTTGCCTTCCCAGAAAACAAAACCCAAATCATGTCAGAGCTGCCAAGTTATTGAAAATTTTTATTATTTCTATAATATTATTTTGCTTCTTTCTTCTCCAAACTTAATGAGGGTCTTCTTCATAGAAAAATACAAAGAGCTTAAAAGTGACAAAAGAACTGTTTGTTTTTAGTAAAATCAATCCCTGGGAACCCCCGCCAGTTTGCCTCTGTGTTGCCAGTCCCTGTGTCTCTCCAGATCAGGATTATTTCAGAGCAAGTCTAAGATTCAGCTTTCCCACAAGTATTTTAATCTAGCTCTAAAATCAGGAACATTTAATTTTGCCAAATTATAAGCTCATTATTGTGAACACATCTAAAAATTTACTAATAATTCCTCAATAGAATATGCTGCTTAATTCAGTCTCAGATAATTTCCTGTTCTACACATTGATCCCGTTTTGGAACTAGGATCCAAATGAGGTATTTTGTTGCAGTTGGTTGACATGAGTCTTAAACTTCTTATAATCCAAAGGATTGATGATTTTTATTTTTTTTTCTTTTCCATCGTAATTTGTCTTTTAAAGAAACCAGAGGACCCGTGGTTTTGGTTTGAGACATCACATAGCAGTGGGTCACCTACCTCGTTCATTAACATTGGACACCTGGGAGGGTGAGCGTGTGAAGCGGTGGTTGGCGAGCTTCGTACAGCTCAGGCGGTTGCCTTGTGAAGGTCACAAGCTAGCTGTCGCAAAGCCTGAACCCTTTTCTGAGCGACAAACTGAGCCATCCCATATGCGTTAGTCTTAAATGGCTGTTTTAGTAATAATATTTGGTTATCTTTTTCCCACCAGTGACTCTCATTTCCACTGTGCCTTACCCAGAGAGGGAAAGCAGAAAGCAGATTGGAGGAGAGAGGGGAGTCGGGTGTGGTGGTGGGATCAGAGTCTCGGGAGAGGAGAGGAAACCGGGTCCATCTGTGGAACAGCCTGCTCCATCCTGTGTGGCGGCAACCCCGCTGTTTTCTTTCTTTTTTTTTTTTTAATTGTTATTAACATTGTATTATGTGATACAGTTTTATAGGCACTGGGGATTCCCGCCACCCCTCCCCCCATAGTGGATTCCTCCACCTTGCTGCATAACCACAGTTCAAGTTCAGTTGAGATTCCTTCATTGCAAGCATATATCTAGCATAAACCCCGCTGTTTTCAAGCACAGATCAGTCATGGTGCTTTGCGTTGTCTCTGAGCTGAATACACGAGGCTGTGCTCTGTTTGTTAGGAAGTACAAGAGAGAACAGTTAATGGCTTCAAGATTAAACTTACTATTAAAATACATTTTTTATGTTAAAATATCCTGCTGTCATGCCAGGTAACTGAGGGGTAGAGTGGAACACGACTCCCACTGTAATTCATGTTCAGTGAAGTACTAACACGTTTTGTAAAGTGTGATGTGTGCTGTCGATGATGCGCTTGGATCGTGCAAATGCTTCAGCATCTCCCTTCTGTTCAGGGAATGGTAATAGCAGAGACCAAGCGCCAGATGCACGAGACCCTGGAAATGAAAGAAGAAGAAATTGCTCAGCTTCGTAGTCGCATCAAGCAGATGACTACCCAGGGAGAGGAATTACGGGAACAGAAAGAGAAGTCAGAAAGAGCTGGTAAGGACTCAGAGATGACTTGTTTTCTGTTGGAGCTCACAGGTTGCTTAAAGTGGCTGACCGTTTCAAACTGCGGATGAAAATGTTCAGGTCTGCAGACCGTGCGGAGGCTCCATGCTGTGCGTCAGAGGAGTTCCGAGTTGGCGCACGCTATGTGGTCTGTGCAATAAATCCGGTTCAAGAATGATTTTTAAATGATTAAGTAGTCAAAAAAAAGAAGCAGGTGTGTGATCTGTAAAACCTAAAGCCTAAAATCTATGCCCTTATGGAAAACTTGCTGACTACCTTAGAATATCAAAATTCAGGTTTAAAATACAGGCGCTTCTAAGCAGACGATAACTGCCACTTTGTAGTTGCCCTGAGTTAAGCAAACAAAAGGTACACTGTGCATTTAAGGGAGTGATGAGCAAGCAGTTCAGTGTTATATATATATATGTTGTATGTGTTAGCATGGTGACCATCAGATTCTAAAGTATAGAGACAGGTTATAACACTGGGTGCTGCCAGCAAGAGAGGGGCATTAGAAGGAGTTGAGTGAGACCAGTTGTATCCTCAGGTCAATGAGGATAGAGTTTTGAGTTGAACCTCAGATAATGAATAGACTGAGCGTAGACAGAGATGGGGCTGCACAATTTCAGGTGCTGCAAGACCACGGACAGCCATCGGCAGCATAGTGGGCGTGTTAGTCAGCTGGGGCCTTTTTGGCTGACGTGGGAGATCAGGTTGGCCTGTTGAATTTCAAAAAGGTGAGTAACTGATTTTAGACTTTGGTATGAAAGGTAACAGGAAGCCAGCATGATGGAAGTTAGTATTATACGGAGAGGAGAAAATGAAATGCAAAGTCAAACGTAGAAGCAAAGGTGGAAATCCAGCTTGAAGGACTGAAGTCACCCCGGCACTGTGGGGACGGGAGGGGCAGGTTGTGGGAAGGAAGGGAAGGCAGAAGCTGCAAAGCTTGGTGTTTAGCAACTTGGAAGACAGAAGGAACATAGCAATCGGAGACGACTCCAAAGGCCTTTTTAAAAAGATATATTTTATTTATTTGAAAGGTAAAGCTAGAAAGAGAGAGAAGCATGCTAGCATCTTCTGTCCTCTGGCTCACTCTCTAAATGGTTGCAGAGGCAGGGTTGGCCAGGCCAAGCCAGGAGCCTGTAGCTTCATCCAGGTCTACCACGTGGTGCATCCGCTTGGGTCATCTTCTGCTGTTTTCCCAGGTACATTAACAGAGAGCTGGAGTAGAAGCAATAGTTGGGGCACGTATCCATAAGGGATGCTGGCATCACAGAATGAGGCTTAAGCAACTACACCACATTGCTGGCCCCAACTCTGAAGTCTTAGGAAACTGAATAGGTTGTGTGGAATTAGTGTGGAATAAAAGTGACCATTGAGGTGAGTTGATGAGTTTAATACTTGAGTTTGAGCCAGTTCTGAGCATTCCCATTGGTCTTGCCTTATAAAAACTTGAAAATGAGAAATTGGCACATCCTTCAGGAGTTGAAGCTGGTGGGTTAACCTGTAGGAGAGGACAATTTCTCTTAAAGGTTGTGCTTTACCAAGGTGCCAGCAGGAATGATGATAGCAGCAGCTGTGCTAGCCAGCGTGAGGCTGTGCTGGAAGTACGGTACTAACATTTACTTGTATTCAGTCTTCCCAGTTCTGGGAGACAATACTGTTTGTTACCTATATTTTACAAAGATGGGAGCCAAAGGCTGTTGGAAGTTGAGTAACTCGTTTACAGACAGGATTTCAAGCATGGCATTGTACTTCCTTCGTCTGTGCTGCTGCCCCAGAGAGGGCTGGAGTTTGGCAGAGAGAAATAAATGAGAAAAAATAGTTAGCCAAACAAGCCATAGGAATTAGGAGGTATTTTAAGAATGGGGAGGGGAGAATGAAAACTTTGGAAAAGTCCTTGAATTCGATGAGGATCTAACTTTAGCATGCAGTTTTGAGAAATTATTTTAGAAGCCAGACCGTAAAATGTGAAGGTAGGGAATCGCACTGCGTGAGAAATAGTTCTCATCAATGTTTCCTTAATGTTCTTGCAGTTGTGTTATGGTAAAAGAGACGGTTTAGCTAATGAATCTGTTTCGGCTAAACCTAGGAAAATCTCTCCTGAGAAGCAGTCGATAGAAACATCCTCAAGAATCTAATCTTTGATTATGCGCTTGTAGTTTGAGCGTTGTGAGACATCGTTAAGCAGTTTGCTCTCAGCAAACAGAAAGCAAAGGGGTACAGTCCTAGGACAACCCCTGTGCTTTCAGGATTGCTTTGACTTAAATGTGGTAGCCAGCAAAGAAAAAATGATGTTGGCTAGGAGATTCAGTTTTCCTTAAGCTGGGGATATGCTTTGTGAGGAGCCAGAAACTCATGAATGAACATCAGACTGTTAAGGGAAAATGATCAATAGACAATTTATATTTAATTCCCATGGAAGGGTTCAGATTTTCTCCCTGTAACTTCCAGTCCAGTCTTCAGTAGTATGGCTTTCCTTGCTCCTCCCAGACACAGTTTTTACGTTTTTGTTTGTTTTTTTTTTTTTTTTGATCTTCAAATGTGATATTCATGAAAGTATATTTTTGCAAATACTTTTCTGAGAATAGTATTCAAAATACTAGGAGTTAATGAATATTTAAGAATTAGTATTTAAATTATTTGAAAGATACGTTTGCTGTGGAAGGTCTTTAGATAGATTCTTTTATAGATCTTTTTAAAAATTATATTTGTATAATTATCATCAGCAGAATTATTTGTATAATTATCATCAGCTTAATTATTGAGGCCTGAGGGAGAAAGTTGTGACACACTTGTTCCACAGTGTAGACGGTGATTTTTAAATCTGTAATGAAAACTAGTTTTGTACCCCAAGGACATGCCATGTTCTAGTCTTAGTTGAGTCTGAGTGCAACTAATCAAGTGGGATGTAATTCCTAATTCATATGCAAAAAGACACGCTATTTGTAAGAACAATTTCTGTTAATGCTAAACAGAAAAGGTTTATGTAAAGGTTTTGAAAACCAATCTGCAGGGCCTGGCTTGGTTAGTGTAGTGGCTAAATCCTTGGCTTGCATGCCTGGGATCCCATTTGGGTGCTGGTTCATGTCCCGGCTGCTCCACTTCCCATCCAGCTCCCTGCCCATGGCCTGGGAAAGCAGTGGAGGACGGCCCAGGGCCTTGGGACCCTGCACTTGTGTGGGAGACCCCAGGAAGCTCCTGGCTCCTGATGCTGACTTCAGATTGGCTCAGCTCTGGCAGTTGCAGCCACTTGGGGAATGAACCAGTGTTCATTTTTAGTGTCTTTGCTTCTCTCTGTAAGTCTGCCTTTCCAATAAGAAAATAATAATTTTTTTAAAAGAAAGAAAAATCGTTTGTAAACATTATCTAATTCTTGGAGAATTCAGTTGCTCTGCTAAATTTTGTCTCAGATTTACAAATTGAAAGGTTACCCAAGACTTGGCCACGGAAAGGCAGGATGAATGCAATTGCAGCATGCTGCTGTTAGGGTTTAGCAGTAGACATGTTGCTATGAAACTATCATGAAGGAACCTGAACCCTGTACTAACGTGTGGTCAACTCTGCCACGTTTCCCTCTGATGCGGTTGCTGATGTTTGACCTCTGGGTGTTTGTATCCACTCCTTCATGCTGGATGTCAACCTGAGCTGAAGAACATTTCTCAGTACTCCTGTCATTTCTAGGAAGAGCGTCATACTTCCCATGTGTTGCAAAGAGGGAAGAAACTGGAATGTGTCAGCCTGGGGTTGTGTTTTAAATCGGTGATGAAATGCTCAAGTTGGTGATGTGCTAACGTGAGGGTGCTAGACCCACCCGGGGCTCCCCAGCAGTCCCCTCGAACGCCTGGCATCGTAGTACTCCTCAGTTTGTGAAAATGACTTACTTTAGTGGATAAAGAAAACGAAATCTAAATATTTGTTACGAGCACTTCACTGCAACTGTTGATACCGTTAAGTTTCTGAGTGTCAGTTAAAAACAGGTGATGGGCTAGTAACCAGATTTTAACCTGGTGTAATCTGGCAGTTCAGCCGAAGTGTATAATGCTGTGTTGGGGTGTTAGGAAGTTAGGGTTAGGGTTATATATATATACAGTTGTCAAGAAAGTTATATTCTTAGTGCAGCACCATTGTAGGCTGGTTTACACTAGGTCTTGGCTGTTGGGTGTGTATGTGTGTTAAACGGGGTAGGAGGGGAAGTGGTTCATTACACTAGTAACTGTTGGTTACTAGTTCAGAATAGCACCAAAAAATTGGGAGACAAAAGTGCATCATGGTTTCATTACACTTCCATGTGGTCTGTTTTCCAGTCCTTTTTAAAAAAAAAAAAAATTTTTTTTTTTTTTGCAACAACATTGTGTACACATTTTGTGCTTCTTCACTCCGCCCATTTAGCGTCACACTGGGAATTCTTTAACATGTGGCCAAAGTACTAACACACTGTGGTGCCTGTGTCAGAGTGCATGTACATTACCTACTTGGTAACCGTTTTCCTATTATTCCACCCCTTCTATTATTTTGTGGTTTTGCTATTATGAATAATATGATAGCAATTTTGTGACTTAGTTTATACCCTATCTTGGAATATCTTCCATATTTTTTTCTGAGGATAAATTGATTGCTTACAGAGTTTTTCATCTTTTTGAAAGTGATTTAAATATAATCATTACAAAAAAACCATAACTCATGTTGCAGTGTGAAGCCTTCCTCGCTCTTGTATTAAAAATGTCCTTGCTACAATTATGCACGATGAAGAAAATATTGTGCTTGGGTTAGGGACATTTTCAGACTGCCGCAAGTTTGTAAATCCCGTTTCCTTCTCATGTCTGCTCTCATTTCTGATGTTACGTGTTTGATATGATTGGCTGTGTTTAAAGTTCGGATTAGCTCATAACATTCTCTGCTTCTGAAATTGTCATGTTGTGTTTGTGCAGATAATAAGTCTTTTTATCATTCACTTGTGTAGTATATAGGCCCATGATACGAGACTTCTT